ACTTAATAAAATTATATGTCTTTCCAGAATCATGGAGATGGGACCCAAATTCTAGGCTACAAAATAGATTATACCATATTCTTCAAGTCATTTTCATTTCTTTCCCAGACTACCACTGGCTTGAGTCTGCCCTGTTCCTTTAGGTTCTGCTGCAGTCATTGCATTCGTTCCCACATGTAAGCTACATATAATTATAGCCAAATTTGCCTTTTATATAAAGTTGTTAAAACCTAAGGAAACTGAAAGCATAGTTTAGTTCTTTCTTTCTTTCTTCCTTCCTTTCTTTCTTTCTTTCTTTCTTTCTTTCTTTCTTTTTGTCTGTCTGTCTTTCTTTCTTTCTTTCCTCTTTTTGGGTCACATCCGGGGTTACTCCTGGCTCTGCACTCAGGAGTTACTCCTGGCAGTGCTCAGAGGACCATATGAGATGCTGGGAATCGAACCCAGGTTGGCTGCAGGCAAGGCAAACACCCTACCCGCTGTGCTATTACTCCAGTTCTTTTTCTTGAAACTATAAATTGGCAGAAAAAAATTTAAAGTTCTCATAACTATAATACGAATTTATAATTTTGTAGAACTTTAGAAAATAATAGAAATATGGAGATAAAAACTAACATAATTCAACAAAAGTGAGGGGTGAAAGAGTGGGAGCAAGGGTAAAGGTGGTATAAAAAACATACAATTCCTGTTATGTAATAAGTTCTGAGGTTATAATGTTCAGCATGAAATCTACTCTTTTCAAAGCTCTCATCACAAAAAATATTTTTGACTATGTACAGTGACAGATATCAGCTGAACTTAAATAACAATCATTTTGTGATAGGTAAAATACCTATTTGTAAGAATAAATAAAAGCATTTCTATTGCACACCAACAACTATAATATTATGTCATATGTCAATATTATATCCATTAGACTTTCATAAAAATGTTTAAGAAACCTGACTACTGTTCTACAATTAGTAATCTTCTTCCTCTTATTCTTTATGTTTTCATGCATTTTAGTAATAAATTAAAGCAATAGCTCATCTTCTACTTTTCTGGTTATTTAAAAACATTATGATCATATCATATCTCAACTTCATATCATATACTCAAAGTATAGGAATTTATACTTTATCATTTCACAATTTTGAACTATTGCAATGTTTCAAAATTGCAACACATTATACATTGAAAGAATACATTAGCATTGAAGATTTAATTCACTTCTCTGATAATTTTGAGAAATAATTCCAAGAATGAAAATTAATAAATCAAAATACATGAATATGTATGTTTTACTTTTCTTTTGCTCTCCTAAAAACTATCAAAAATATAACAGTAGGTTCAGTCCACAGACTCAGGAGACAACCCTGCTTAAGGTCTTACAAACTTCAAAGAAATGTGTTGGTGAAATAGGTTCATTTAAGTTATAGACAAAATTCATTTCCTTTTTCAGAGTTCTAGATGACCACAACCATCTTCAAGTCAGCAATGGTAGGTTGAATCCCTGTTGAGTCTTTTAAAATTTCAGCTAAAAACATTTTCTGATTTTAGAATATTACACCTCAGAGACTGGCAACATCCAAAAGAACAAAAGCAATCAGTGTTGGCGTGGACGTGGGGAGAAAGGAACCCTCCTACACTGCTGGTGAGAATGCCGACTGGTTCTGCCTTTTTGGAAAACAGTATGGATGCTTCTCAAAAAATTAGAAATTGAGCTCCCATTTGACCCAGTAATACCACTCATATCCCGGAGAGGCAAAAATGTATAGTCAAAATGACATCTGTACTTGAATGTTCATTGCAACACTGTTTACAATAGCCAGGATCTGGAAAAAACCCAAGTGCCCAAGAACAGATGACTGGTTAAAGAAACTTTGGTACATATACATAATGAAATACTATGCAGCTGTTAGAAAAGATGAAGTCACGAACTTTGCATATAAGTGGATCAACATGGGAAGTATCATGTTAAGTGAAATGAGTCAAAAACAGAGACATTAATAGCACAGTGGGTAGGGCATTTGTCTTGCACATGGCCAACCCAGGTTCGATTCCCAGCATCCCATATGGTCCCCTGAGCACCGCCAGGGGTGATTACTGAGTGTAGAGCCAGGAGTAACCTCTGTGCATCGCTGGGTGTGCCCCAAAAAACAAAAAATAAAAAGAGAGACAGACATAGAAAGATTGCACTCATCTGTGGAATATAACTATAATAGAATGGGAGACTAGCACCCAAGAACAGTAAAGATAAATACCAGGTTTGCTCCATGGCTTGGAAGCTGGCCTCCCATGCTAGAGGAAAAGGCAGCTCAGATAGAGAAGGGAACACCAGGTAAAGTGTGGTTGGAGGATAGCTTGGGATAGGAGATGCACGTTGAAAGTAGACTATAGATCTAACACGATGGCCACGCAAACCACAACACCTCAAAGGAGAGAGAGAACAAAAGGGAATGCCTTGCCACAGAGGCGGGGTTGGTGCGGGTATCGTGTGGGGGTGGGGTGGGGTGGGAGGGATACTGGGACCATTGGTGATGGAAAATGGGCACTGGTGGAGGTATGGGTACTTGATCATTGTATGACAGAAACACAAGCACGAAAGTTTGTAAGTCTGAAACTGTACCTCACGGTGATTCACTAATAATTTTTTTTTAAAAAGAAGCTTTGTAATGAGATTATTTATGACAATCCGCTGAACCAAGATTCTGCCACCAGCATTGAATGAGAATGCTCAGTTCCCCACACCTGCCTACACAGAATATTTTCCTTTCTTTAATTTAGTGATCTAACAGAAAAAAAAAAAACTGTTGTATTTAGTGTTTTTCCTTACATGTCTTTGATTCACAATGAAGTCAAACTCTTGTAAACACTCATTTTTCTTCTGTGATATCAAATTCATTTCCATTCTTTTATTTTATTCTTAGTATTTTCCTTATTGGTTTACATTTCTCTTTATATATTAATACTGGGTTCCTCTGTTACTCTATTGGAACAGAGGAACCCAGGTACGTGAAAGCCAGAACTGAGATCTCCAAGCCTGCTCGGATTGGGACCAGGCCTCCTCCACTCGGATCCCCAGGCTGTCTTCACAGGGGCCCCTTGGAGGTCCCTGCATGAAGGAACCGGAAGAGGAATCCAGGTATGCGGGGTGCATGGCTGAGATCTCCAGGCCTGCTCGGATCGGGACTGGGACCCCTCCACCCAGATCCCTCGTTTTCCAGTAGGTTGGCAGTCACACCCACAAACTGCCCCCAAAGCCATGTAATCTCATCAAAGGCCAAGATCCAGAGACTATAAAACAAAGCTCCTGAAAGAGAGCAATGGATTTTCTCCCGCTCAGAGAGCCCGGCAAGCTACTCGTGACATATTCGCTATGCCAGAAAACAGTAACAATAACAGGCCTCATTCCTCTGACCCTGAAAGAGCTTCCAGTACACCATTGGGTATGCTAGCACGTGATAGGAACAAATGGAGACGTTCTGGTGCCTGCTCAAGTCAATGAACAATGGGACGACAAGTGACAAGTGATACAAGTGATATTTATACTACATTAGTTTGTGTTCAAACTAGCTTAGTCTTTAAGGAACAGAATTATTTTCCACAATTGTAGAATGTTTGTGTGTTCATTACCACTGCTGTCTTGCCCCCCCCACCCCGTGCTTACGTTCACATGCAGATATCAAACAGGGCCTCTGAAGTTGGTTAAGTCTCAGTTTTCATATTGTATTTTGTCATTTTGATGTGTGTGTGTGTGTGTGTCTGTGTGTGTGTGTAAAGTTTCTGTATTTAGCTTTTTGGTTTAAGGTTCCTCATCATCATCTTTGAGATAATTAAATGTATTTGATTTTAAGATTTGCTCCAGAGCAAGTCTTACAACTGCACATGAAAGAAAATGGAACCAACAGAATATGGGTTTATGATGGTAAATAAAAACCAAATGAATTGATTTCTCTTGCCTTGCCTTTATATACCTGTAGCAGGGGTTAGAAAGATAAAGTTTATTACAGGTAGCCAGAAAGAGGTGTTTACATTCTGAGACTAATGGTACTAGGCCTCATAACCAAGATTCAAGTAGACTTAGAAATGTTGTTTCAAATCAAATATATTTATAAAAACAAGAACCAGATAAGTACAAATAAAGCTAACTTTAAAAAAATGGAAAAGAAAGGAGAAACACCCTTCAAGTTTGAAAATCTAGTCATTCATTAATTACAACAATGCCATTCCAATTAATCTTATCCTAGTAAGTCTTGAACTACAAAATTTCAAGCTGTGAAGATCTGATCCAAGAAATACTGCGACAGATGCATACAAATGGATTTAAGACACATTTAAGAAAATGGGTAGGCATTCCCATAGAGAAGTAAACTATGTTCATAATCTGATAAGTGACACATACACAGAACACATAAAGAGTTCTGAGAAATTTGTAATGAAAAGACAAGCTAATTTTAAAAATTAGAGCAAAGAATTTGAATAGACACTTGAAAAAAGAGATGAACAAATGATCACATGAAACACTCTAGCACTAATTTTTAGAAATAGAAATGAAAATCAAAATGAGATATTTCACACACATTAAAAACAAATAACAACGCTATATTTCTAAGAATGTGGAGCAAGCAAAACTCTTATTTTCCCAGTAAAAACAAAGTGGTAGAACCTCTTTGCTTGATGTTTACCACTTTAGGGAAATTTTACTTAAGACTGATAAGAAGCATCAATATTGTAAAATAAAGATATAGAAGATTTGGAGCAGAGGAAAACATCAAGGTGTTTTGCCATAAAGAGAACTATTTCTTCTATATTGTTTCAGGGAATGGTATGCATATGTGACATAAAATAAACATAATTTAGGTTTATTTATTTTGCCAAAAATAAAACAGCTTTTTTGAATTAGTTGTTGATTCAAGTTAGATATCAAGAATAATGGTGAAAATTGGACTATTACTAGTATAAAAAAGTATTTAGATGTAAAATTTTATAAAAATAACTCAGACCTTTTTATAAGACATCAGTCATTTGAATAATTCATTTATTATATATGAATATACACTTTCTGTAATAAAAAAGCCTTCTCATACACTGAACCACCTTATAAATGAAATAAGAAAATAAAATTTTCATCTGCTTACAAATGGGGTTGAATTAACTAGTACAATATACCCTATGTATATCTGACCTGCAGTCAATGTATATTCCAATCCTGAAAATAGCAATGAGGAAAAAAAATGGTGCTTTCTTATTTGGCACTTGTATTGCTCTTGAATGTTGATATAATTACAGACTTGATATTTTCAAGTTAGTCATTCAAAATATATACAGCTCTTACAGTTCTCCATTTTCATTAATGTTTTATATTTACATTTAAATACATTTAGATGATATATTTTTAACCCTCAGAAGTTATTCTCACTTTCTATTTTGATACACCTTCCAATGATTGAAATTGGAAAAACACCTTAAATACGCTATTTATCATTTTTTCCCAGTAAGAAGTAACTCAAAAGCTATGAAAGTTTCTAGTAATGCTCAATATCTATAACAAAGTGCACCAGTATCATGCCTCTAGAAAATAATACATAAAACATATTTTCTAAGGCACATTTCAGAAAATCTATTAAATATTATTTAGTATTGTTATACTTATATACTTGTGCTTTAAACTTAGTTTTGCTAAATATTTACTATACAACAAAATCCTTGCTGTTTTTTTTTTTTGGAGGGGGGATTACACCCAGTGATGTTTGTGATGCTCAGTGATTACTTCTTGCTCAAGGATCACTCCTGGCAGTGTTTGGGGACTATAAAGGATGCTGGGAGTTGAATCCAGGTTGCCTGTGTAAAACACAAGTACCTTATTACGTACTATCTCTATTAGCCCTTGCTATTTTTTTTAAGTAGAAAATTCCAGAAATTCTAGATTCAGAGTCCAGAGTGCTAACCATTACATCATTGGGACCTTTGGCTAAACTCCAGAAATTCTTAGCAGAAACTAATTTTAAGGCCATTTTATATGTTACAGAAGTGAGGATGAATGATAGTTTGCCTTTCTTTGTAGGTCTGGAACTCTTGTTTTCACGTGGAGCCACTCAATATTGTGTAGTTCAAGCAAATGAATGTCAGCAAACATAATTTTAAAGTCATTAAGAAATGCTAGATAAAAGGAAAAATCTTAGTATTGGTAATTATTTTTAAATAAGGACGTGAGTTCTATTTTTCTTATAGGTGATTATATTATTGTAAACATTGTAGAGCACCACTGAACTCTCTGTAACTTAGGTTTTAAATTTGAGATATCCCCAATAGACAGATATATACAAGTGGATGTTGTGGCTAATCAACTTGACTCCCTGCCCCCACCCCTAATAGAATAAATGTATTGACTGTGAAGAGAGAAACCACACACATAAAAATAAAAATCAATGTACCATACTTTAAAATTCAGATGACTACATAATAAGATTATATACATAACATAAGTAAATCACAGTTTCCTGCACTGAATGTTTATCAAAAATGTACCAAACAAATACGGGGTAGTTTATGTTCACATGAATCGTGGTCTTCAAAAAATTTTGATTGATAATGGAAGACGAGAGGGAGAGCATTGTTCAATGACAGAAATTGACAAGAGGACTAAAAATACCAAACAACTGCTCCCAGAACAAGCAGTTCAGCTATAAATGTTATTTTCGTTGTTGCTCTGTAATTTAAATAAAGCCCCTCTCTCTATGTTTAACAAAAGATTTTAACATGTATATTTTTTTAATGAAATCACTAAGACAATCTAACAAAGAAGATGCACAAACTCTTCCTTTACCATTGACATTAAAACTGTCCTTTCATGGACAGTTTAAGATGTATTTTTCTTTTGTCACTGAATAGATGTAGAGTATTTGGTCTGAGCTTAGAAAGAATTAAGTGGTGATTACTTTGCTATCAGGGCATTTTTAGTTGATATTTTAAGAGTACAAATATTCTTCTTCTCTCTCTTTTTTTTTGGTGGGGGGAAGTGGTAACTATTACATATGGTTATCCTTTTCTTTATGCTGTACAGAATAAAAACATATCATCTCACGCTACTCTAGTAAAACCGGGTAAAAATATGCACCACAGTTTTTAAAGTCATGAGCAGAGTTCTTGACAAAAATGATTTTTTTCTTATGCAGGTAGCTGGTGATCTTACTAGTAAACAGATGTCTTTGGGATCTTTCTGTTATTTCCTATGAATAACATTTCAGCAAAGAAAATGCAAATGTCTTTTGCAGCATAAATTCCAACCATTTTCAATAGAAAAAGAAAAGTATTTTTTCTTGGTTAGTGATGCCCGTTGGAACTTGGGGGATCATAAATCCAGTCCATTATAATGAGTCCCATGCTTCCAATCATGAAGATGATTCCAACCACAAGAAAAATGAAAGCCTGTAATTCAGACAGAATTTGTTAGGGAACACAGAAATCATTCTTTAAGTACAGTTTATTTTAATGTTGTTTATCTGAGGCAAAAATTTGAGTTTTTGTATTGAATTGCATAAACTTTAAAGCTCTAAAATTTTCAGTCAACTTAGAAACTCCCGTGGGGATAAAAGACGCATACAAAGAAGAGAGAGAGTCAAAATAATCAAAACAGAATAATGATTAATTGATTTGGCACATCCAAATGATAGAATGCCCTACGGTCATTAAAAATCATATGACAAGAGATTCAGCATACTGTACATGCCCTGCATGTAGATGATACTGGGCATCACATGATCCCCTGTGAACCACCCAGTGTGGCTCCTGTGTGGTCCACTACTGGGGTAGCCCAAGGGCAATCCTTGGCACTGAAGGGTCAAAGCTAGATGATATCTTCAGTCCTTACATTAAACTATTAACCCCAAGGTCTCCTGACCACCATTTGGGAGACCATCATCCCCCAGCCCCCCCCCAAAAAAAAACCACATACATAACAAGAAAAGGCTTAATGGACTAGAAAATACTTAAAATCTTCTAGGTGAAAAGGGTATGCCATAAATAATATCTGACATTACAAAAAAAACCCAAAATAAATGCTAAATATATGCTCATATACTATAATAAAAACTAAGTGTGCATATATATATATGTGTGTGTGGGGGGGCGGTATTTTATATTTAATATTTTCCATAACATTCCAGTATTATAACACTGGAAAGGATCTTATACATTATTACACAGACCAACATAATTCTATTTATGAGGTGCAACCATTATTATTTTATTAATTATTTTTAAAAGCAGATATTTTTAGTTAGTTTTACGTATGGTTGCAAACTGGGTTCAACCATGTGATGCCCGAGCATCACCAGGAGTAATTCCTTAGCACAGAGTCGGGAGCATGTCCTAGCACTACTGGGCATGACTCCCCAAACAGACAAAAAAAATCAAGAAAAATTAATTGCATAGCATGTAAATTTGGGGCAAGGTGATTAGAGAAGTTACTGACACCAAACTGTTCGGGAGTCCCTGAACATTATCAAGAGGCAAATGACTTTCAGGTAAATTTGAAATTAACTCAGTCAGGAACAGTCTTTTTAAATCTTAGTATAAGGTTTTATTAAGCAGTCACTGATAATGTATAATTATTAGAAAATCTTAATTATTTCTAGTATATGCTCTTTAGTAAAATTATGTAAAACGAATATACCATGTAGTTTAATATGACTATAATTTATATCCGGAGTAGTTAACTGGAAGATAAATGGCTTTATTCTATATTTTAATTCACACCAGGGACATCAAGGTATCACGGAACCACTGTAGCACTGTAGCACTGTCCTCCCATTGTTCATAGATTTGCTCGAGCGGGCACCAGTAACATCTCACAAAAAATTGTGAGACTTATTGTTACTGTTTTTGGCATATCAAATACACCATGGGGAGCTTTGTAGGCTTTGCTGTGTGGGTGAGATACTCTCAGTAGCTTGCTGAACTCTCCAAGAGGGGTGGAGGAATCGAACCCGGGTTGGCCATGTGCAAGGCAAATGCCTTACCCACTGTGCTCCAGCCCATCATGGAAATGAAAGGAAAATATTTTCTTTTGGTCTTGCAAAACTAACTTATAAAACAAAAAAATCTTTGTTTTATATACTTCCAGGGAGTCTAATTCCTTCTGCATAATTTCCAATAATAAATAGCACAGAAATACTTGGTAATGAAAACTAACAATTAAAATCTATTAGGTAAGAAGGACTCAAGACAAGATATTTGAAGGAAAAAATTCTGACTTCTTCAGCTATCATAAATTCAACTCCTTTTTCATCTTTTGTTTCTGGTTCTTGTTCATCAATTCAATTTTTCCTGTAATCAGAATATTTCTAATTTATGCTAACTAGTCAAAGGACAACTCATAGGGCCAGCGGGATAGTATGTGAGCGAGCTCTTTCACATGGCCAATCCCAGTTTGATTTCTGGCACCACACAAGATCCTCTAGGTCCCAAACACCTTCAAGAATAATTCATGAGCACAGATCTAGGAGCAGAAACTCATCATAGCTGAGTGAGACCTTACAAATAACAATAGGAACACCAAAACACAAGGAATCACTTATAATGAAGAAAATTCAAAGTCTTACTTACCCCAATCTTTTGGGGTGATCGAAAAGATTCTTTCTTGACAAGTTTAATATAAAAAGCTGCTGGAAGTATGAAAATCAACATGGTAGCAGAAGAAGCCCCTGAGGAGAGAAACACGGGACAGGAAGATGTTTTATTTAGCAATTCTAACTCATCAGGGCAGAAATTTAGAGAACACATGCTTTTTAAAGAACCCAAATATAAAGGAATCCTACTCCTAGCACTAAGAGCACCGTAAACTCATCTTGGCTGTTTACTCATAGAGGATGGTAACTTGGCGCTGTGTAATCCCATCAATGGCCAAGACTCAGAGACTATAAAACCCAGATCCTGGAAGTGTGCGGCTGCATTTGCAGCTGCGCGACATCTTATTATCTTATTCCCACTTTGGACAACCTGGCAGGCTACCGAATGTAACCTGCCCACACAGCAGAGTCTGGCAAACTCCCCGTGGCATACCCAATACGCCAAATACCAGTAACAATGATGGGTCTCATTCTCCTAACCCTGAAAGAGCCTTGAATATGGAATCTCAGGGCTAGGACGAAGGAGATGTTACTGGGGCTTGTTCAAGGCAATCGATGAACAACAGGATGGTCGTGATCGTGATCGTGATGGTGACGTAGCACTGTTCTCCCGTTGTTCATTGATTTGCTCAAGCGGGCCCAGTAACATCTCCATCATGAGACTTGTTGTTACTATGTTTGGCATATCGAATACGTCACGGGTAGCTTGCCAGGCTTTGCCGTGCGGGCAAGATACTCTTGGTAGCTTGCCAGGCTCTCCGAGAGGGGCGGAGGAATCGAACTTGGGTTGTCGGTTGCATAGGCCGCGTGCAAGGCAAATGCCCTATCCGCTGTGCTATTGCTCCCGCCCTTATAGAGGATATCTGTATATAAAACTAAAGTATACTTGAAATCATAGTTATATACTAAGTACATCTAAAATAAACAAATAAAAGACAATATTAATGTTTACAGGAAATTAGTTACATAAATTCATTTGTTATTTTTTGAGGGGGGCACACCCAGCTATGCTCAGGGCTTACTCCTAGCTCTGTGCTCAGAGATCACTCTTGATAAGCTCAGAGGACCAGGTGGAGTGCCAGGGATCATACCAGGGTCTGCCATGTGCAGAGCAAGCACCCTACCTACTGTACTAGCTCTCCAGCCCTGTTATATAAATAAATTCTAATAAAGCTGAACTCATCATGGATACCTTCCCCATTTCTAACTTTTCATGTTGCTTATAACTCACATTTATTTTGTAATTAAAAATTTTTAAATTCAATAACTCAAACAAGTAGGATAAAGGTTTAAATATATTAATAAACAGGCTTTACAGGCTTTACAAAAATCAAACCTCCATCTCCAAAGACACCCTTTAAAGCTTAGCTGGTACTCATAGACTTGAGGGCATCTTGTTGTCAATGATATTTTTCTTATTCTTTTGTTCCCGTTATTTTTACACAGGATTAAGATTGAAATCAATTTCAAAGCATATAATTGTTCTCATTGGATGAGGCAGCCTTAAAGGTAGCTTTTAGTGGTGACATTTTCTCAAGTTATCCAGGAAGGAGGAATAGTGACCAACTGGAGTCCATTTAGTTTAACAAAAATTCTGTGAGCTTGAGAAGGACCAAGGATCTGTGAACTCCAAGTACTGGCTCCATGTCTAAAGTTTAAGGATATAAAGGATATATTTACTGTGTCGATAATAAATGCCTTTCTGACACTTACCTATGAATCCAAAGATGTATTTTATAGTTGGCACGAGGATGACCAAAACATTATTTACTACGATAATTATGAGTGCAATCAGAAAATGTCTTATCCAGCTAAAAGGTCTTTTTGGAAATAACAGTGTGATCACTGATGTACGAATCTGCAAGAAAGTTCAAAGGTATGGTCACAGCTTTGTTACTTATCTATTATCTCAAGAATCTTCATAATTTTTCTTTCCATTTTTCTCCCAGAAAAGATTTTGATGCTGATTTTTATGTTTTTATTGTGTTAAAGTGCACATGGCATACAACTTACCATTATAACCATTGTAAGTGCCAGTATAATTTCAAAGCCAGTATAATTTCAAAGTTTGCACATTGTACAAACTTAGATGGTGATTTTTTGGTTTGAAAGTGTTCAGTTTTCTTTATAATACATTTTAAGCTTCCTTTCCAATTAAATTTTTCTTTAAAAATAATCTCGTCAAAAAAATGTAAAAGTAAAATATATAATTCAGATACATCATTAAACTCTTGTTGATTTCAAATTATGTCTCATCAAACAGGATTAATTAATAAGGAAAAAGCCTGAGTTTATTTACACTTACTAATGAATAAGAGTTTTATAAATCTGCTTATTAATTTTGTACTTGTTTAACATTTTTGTCACCTATTATTTAAGAAAAAAATAGCATTTTTGTTTTTTTCTCTTTTCTATTTAAATGATTAATACATAAGGGTCAAGAACAGAGCCTAAATCTTAACATTCCTCAGTTTCTGGTGTAATGTTTTGCAGACAGTAGTCACTCAGTAAATGTTGGATTACACTGAATAGGGAAGTCTTTTTCTTCTCTCTTAGGTCCTTGATAGATTTCAGCTGTTTCAGCAGCTAAACTAAGTTGGTGAAAGGTCAGAAGAGGCTCCACTGCTCAAGTTACTCTGATGTAATGTAATAAAAAGATCCTTGTGGACAGAGGGAAGGAATGTTTCTATTTGAACAGCTTAAGGAAGTTGAAAATACTCTTATCACTGGAATCTTTTGAAGGACACTTCTGACTTAATGGAATTAGTCTATTCTAAGTGAACACTTCAGTTAAGTTAGGACTTCAAATTTTCAGAAATGCTGAGATTGACTTTTGCTTTAAATTTTTTACACCAAAAGTCTCTTCATGGTATACATGAGGGAACTCATTTAAAAGAAAATGTAAAATATATTTTGAAATACATGAATGGCAATAACTCTGAGCTAAATTGCTTGCAGTTTCTAATGTAACATTCCTTTCATACTACTCCACTAAAAATTAAAGCCATCTGTTTAGGTTTAAAAAGCAATTTCATATCCAAAATGACAAATCAGATAGTATCTGGAAATGGTTTAAGAATGACTAAAAGATTTTAAGAATTGCAATCATAAAAAATTATGAAACTCACTCTGGAAAATAGAAGTAAATGGTTTGATTTTATTTTCCATAGTAGTGTATAAATTCTACATTATGACCAGCAAATAGTGATAATTTCATTGCTAAAATGTTCTGATTCGTAAGTTTAAAATTAGATCTCTATGGAACAATGTAGTGTTTAAGAATTTGTATGTCTAGCAGTGCTAAATTTATGGAATAAACAAAGTAGAACAAACAAATAGGCAGGTTATTTCCTGGTAGAGCTACATTTTTTGCGTCCTTTGTTAAAATAATGTATTTAATTCACTATACTGAAAGAGAAGCATTCCTTTATCTACAGAAACTCTGAACGTAGAGTTTTCAAAGAAACCAAGGTTTATTCTAATGGGGCAAGAGTTCAGAAAGTTTACAGGAACCAAGTCTGGAGCAAAGGATTAATGCTCATTACTTGTAGAAAATTAGGAAGAACTAAATTGAAACAGAACAGAAGACATAAAGATTTGCCAATGCATTAATGAAGCAGCAACAAGATAACAGGAGGCTGTAAACTGATCATATTAGTGATGGTAGAAATGATTTAGAAGAACATTTTCTGGTCCTATTATATTAAAAATATGTCATAAGGAAAGCACCTGACACACAAATGTCCTCAACAATACTATTTATCTAGAACAGGAAAGAGGCAACAATGACTTATTCCCCACAAAGAATATTTTACTCTTCCAGATAATCACAATTTTATTGCCCCCACACTGGTAATCTAGAAATGTGGACCAGCTGCTATGGGTAGAGGCCGACTTCAGCAACATATATGACTTTTGACACAGAATATCTCTTACAACGTTTTGTTCACAGCTCTAAAAAAGTGTTTACTACTCCCAGAGAGCATGTTTTGAATAAGAACCCTTTAGGGGTTGCTGTACTCTGATGTGGAGACCAACTGTGAAAGGCAGAATGTGGAGGCAGTGTGGAAGCTTGGGCTCTGGAATTGAGAGAAAAGGTCATTCTTTTATTGCTTAGGAGCGAATCGGTTTTATTTTGTATGACTGCTCTTAACAAACATATGGGATATACCTACAGACCACTACTGTATTCTAGACCCTAGCAACATATGCCATATACCTATATTTATGTCTACATAGACTTCAGAACAGGAGATCTGAAGGCAACATAAGAGGTATGTATTATTTAACGTGGTGAAATAGAAACACCTGGAGAAACTGAGAGATTACTTTTTAAAAGGTGTGGCAAGTAAAACGTCAATTTCTGTAATGTTTGTTATTTGGCCATACCCAGCAGTGCTCAGGACTTACTCGGGTTTGCATTCAAGAATTACTCCTGTTGGATTTTGGGGACCCTCTTGGTTGCCAGGAGTGGAAACTGAGAGAGCTGCAGGCAAGGCAAATGCCCTACCCTATGCGGTGCTATCAGTCTGGCCGTGTCAACCTGTAGTTTATTGATTATCCCACTAGTATTTTTGGTTTTCTGTTTTTCATTATGATATGTGTACTTTACTGCAGACATACAAGGAAACACAAGTTGAAATTAGAGTAGGAATTCTGGGAAAGAGGTACGTTTCACAATATATACTCCAGCCACCAGAGAAAAATCTAGGGTCTTGTTCACTTATTTTATTCATTTGTTCGCCAAACATTTCAAGCAGTTATGTGCTTTTCATTAAGAGGAAAAAAATCTAAGCAGAGGAATAAATGAAAGTAAATGGAGTAATCAGGGGGAAAACTATCTAATCAACATATATTAACAAAACCTTTCTCATCTCCTGTGCTCCTAAGAGTTCAGTTATCATTTTTGTGGGTATGAATATACAAAATGGATCTTAAATTGATATATTTAATTGTAGGCTAGGTTTCATTTGTTTTATTATTTACATGTGGGAACATTGAGACAAAATAAACAAACTTCTTATTGGTCACAAATTTATTAATTCAAAGACACCTGTAGGGAGAGTCATAACTGTAATTCATTGTTTAACTGAAAATACTGACTCTACATTGGAAGAAACAGATTAACAAAAACACCACTATTTTAATCATGTTAGGGAAATGTCTGAATTTAGTCTCTCAGAAGTTGATTAGAATAAAGAAGTTGGACTACTTTCATGTCATCTATTATATTCACAGAAGCTGGATTCATTTAGCCCAAATCCTCACCCAAACTGAAATTCATGATAAATGTCAAAGAGGAACAATGTATGCTTTTGCTAGCAAAGGCATTTCCTATGTCTTGCTAAAAGGCAATATTCACATGACCACTTTTCTGTATAAATACTGTTCAGCACATCATGTGGCAATCATTGTGCACACAATGTATATTCCTACCTCTATGGACCTCTAATGGGGAAAGGTAAGCATTTAGACCATGACAATATGACACTGTGACATTGTAAGGTGAAAGACACACTGCAGAATATCTCATACTGATACTGAATGAAAGTGCTTAATAAATAACATTTTTCTTTTCTTTTTTTTTTGTTTTGGTTTTTGGGTCACACCCAAAGATGCTCAGGGGTTACTCCTGGCTCATGCACTCAGGAATTGCTCCTGGTGGTGCTCGGGGAACCATATGGGATGCTGGGAATCGAACCTGTGTTGGTCATGTTGGCTGTGTGCAAGGCAAACGCCCTACCTGCTGTGCTATTGCTCCAGCCCCAATAAATAACATTTTTCATGAAACTTTGTTCTAATGGGAAATTTTGGTTCAAATGGGTATCTATTAGCAGATGTTTACAAACTATCCCTGTTCCTGATTTTCAGATTTATACCAGTTCCTTAACTATCATGAAGGGAAAGGATTCTTAGGCAGTGATGTGGATTTTTAAAAACTGAGGTGAAAGGACTATCCATAACTGAAAGCTTCTCATTCTCTCTCCCTGATCCTCAAACTGTTGTTACTGCTTTAATTCAATAGTTACCAGCTTGCAATGTGGTCACAGTTACATCTATTTATGTCTGGGGACAACCAGAAAGCATTACAGTGAGGACTTTAGAGTAAAAAAATAGAGCAACACATGACAAATTTCCTCAAGAAAATGCTTTTGTTCAGTAATGATGTAGTACTGTAGCACTGTCCTCCCGTTGTTCACCGATTTGCTCGAGCGGGCACCAGTAACATCTCACAAATTATGAGACTTGCTGTTACTGTTTTTGGCGTATTGAATACGTCACAGGGAGCTTGCCAGGCTTTGCCATGCGGGTGAGATACTCTCGGTAGCTTGCCGGGCTCTCCGAGAGGGGTGCAGGAATCGAACCTGGGTCGGCCGCATGCAAGGCAAACGCCATACCCTCAGTGCTATCACTCCAGCCCAGTAATGATGTGAATGTACCAAATTTTGTTAATGATATATTTACACACACAAAAAAAGGATGGCTCCAAATATTATTTTCTAGTGATTCAGTTGGCTTCTGACTACCACTATCTTCTGCCTTGTACTCAAGATGGAACTGAATTTAGACTAACATGGTCACGGTCCTCCCGTTGTTCATCAATTTGCTCGAGCGGGCCCAGTAACATCTCCATTGTGAGACTTGGTTGTTACTGTGTTTGGCATATTGAATATGTCACGGGTAGCTTGCCAGGCTTTACCATGCGGGGGAGATACTTTCTGTAGCTTGCTGGGCTCTCATAGAGGGGCAGAGGAATCGAACTCGGGTTGGCCATGTTGGCTGTGTGCAAGGCAAATACCCTACCCACTGTGCTATCTCTCTAGCCCTTAGACTAACATATGTCCATATAATTTAAAATGCTGTCAAGATGCTGTCAGAAACGAGACATCATTTAAGAGTAAAATAGTTTCCATAGTGATAGGGATCTAATTTCATGCTCTCATGAAAAAGGACACGATTCCTCCGCCCCTCTCGGAGAGCCCGGCAAGCTACCGAGAGTATTCGATATGCCAGACACAGTAACAACAAAGTCTCCAATGGAGACATTACTGGGCCCGCTCGAGCAAATCGATGATGAAAAAGGACAGTGTCCCAATAATCTTACAGCTCACATGTTGCATTTAAAGAGACCACAGTGTCATTATATGTCTTCATGCTGGGCCCAGTATAAAATATTTTGTACTGAACAGTTTTGGTTATTGCTTACTTACTTTCATCTGTAAAATGAATGAATAAAAGCAGTGTTTAGGAAAGAAGAGTTGGCAGGAGAATACAGACCAATGTGTTTCAAAAGGAGGTAGTTTAAGTTCATGCAGCCCAAGCTCTACCAACTCTACTCTGGGATGATAGAATGTCTGATGTCAAACAGTTAGCCCCGGTCTGAATCTAGTAAAGGGAATGTGTCATGAAGGAAACATATGTCTAATTATTCTACAAAGAAATTGTTGTAGGGGCTGGAGAGAAAGTACAGCAGATAGGTCATTTGCCTTGGAGGCAGCGAACCAGCTTTGACCCTTGGCATCCCATATGGTTCCTGGAGCATTGCCAGAAGTAATACCTGAACACTGCCAGCTGTACCCCCTCTTCAAAAAAGAAATTTATTATAGTGTTTGAAGCCAGAGTGATTAGAGTGCATCATTGCACATGGAAACCGGATTCAATCCCTGGCATCACGTATGGTGCCCCAAACCCACCAAGAGTGATCACTGAATACAGATGCAGGAGTAAGACCTGAGCACTGCGAGGCATGGTCTCCAAACAAAAAAACAAACAAAAAGAAATTTTTTATAGTTCATAACTTTCTTAGTATGATTTTCCTTCTCAATAGACTTCAATGTGACAAATTAATAAAGCAAAATGGGGGAAAATCAAAATATTTTTTAATATGTGATAAAGATGCAGCATGGTTTAAGAGTTAATACATGTTGCCTTTCAAATTTCAGCAGTTAAATAAAGTCTTATTTATTTTTTATGAAAATTATTTATTTATTTTAACTTTTTATTAAAGGCTGGAGCGATAGCACAGCGGGTAGGGCGTTCGCCTTACAAGCGGCCAACATGGCCGACCCGAGTTCGATTCCTCCGCCCCTCTCGGAGAGCCCGGCAAGCTACCGAGAGTATTCGATATGCCAGACACAGTAACAACAAAGTCTCCAATGGAGACGTTACTGGGCCCGCTCGAGCAAAACGACGATCAACGGGAGGGCCTTTACCTTTTACCTTTTATTAAAGAACTGTGATTTATAAAGCTACTGACAGCTGAGTTTTAAGCATATAATATGTACACCAACCACACCATCAGCATCAACTTCCTTCCACCAGTGGACCCGTTAATCCCTCCACACCTGTCAACGTGACAAGCACACAACAAAGTTTCAGTGGTTGCAGCTTAGATCTCACGTATTCAGTTTTGTTGAGTCTGTTTTTTTTTTTGACATATAACTATACTTACTCATTCATATCACCAGTATAGCTGAAGCCCTGATGCCTGTTCACCCACTACTTCCTTTTTCTTCTCCCCTTAATTTATTTCCCCTCTGTCCTTGTCCTCTCTAAACACTGGGGTCAGGGTGATCTAAGCACCCCCCTTTTTACTATGGTATATTTCCTCATCCAGTATTCTATGTACCACAGACAAGTCAGATGGTGTTTGTTGTTCTTCTGGCTTCCTTCACTCAGCAAGATAATTCCTATTTATTTCTATTAGTCTGCAAGATAGAAGTTCAAGTACTGCTTTTTGATTTGAATTTAGAAATAAGTTTGGGGGGTAGGATGTAGCTCAAGACTAGAATATTCTGTCTTTCAGATGTGAGGACCTGGGTTTGATCCCATCATCACATGCAAAAATTAATTTAATTAATTAATTTTGACCTCTAGAGTTGAAAAATAAATACCTATACATTTTTGATTCTTTATTTTTTCCTTTCCTTCTATGTTTTTAAACTCTATCATCATCTGAATGTGTATGTTATATCTGCATGTTAACTGGTCATTTTTAGGTGACTCTAAAATGCTCTATCAGGAAAATAATGTCTCTGGGCATTGTAATTATAAACTCCGATTACAATTAAATCCAAGCAAGTCAGGAGTTGAGTGCTAACGTGTGAGTGCTAATGTGACGTTGTGCAGGATTCTTTCACAAAGTTTTGTATACTTACTGGGAAGAGGACAATGGGGACAGTTAGTGTTACTGCCACAAGGACTGCCAGGCGCACCATGAGCAGAGGCGTGTCAAATGTGTACACTTTGCTGTAAGCATGAAGTAACTCATCTTCAACTTCTCCTACAAAAAGAAAGGAGAGGATGGGTATAATTAAAATTGTCAATTTGGCACTCTTTGCCTTTATACCAATTTGTGAAGGGAACATTATGCACAGTGGAAACACCCAAGTCTGGGAATCCAGATACTTCTTTTTCTAGACATTGCCATTATTTTCCTTTCAACTTACTATGTTGTGTGAGCCCTAGTCAAGTGAATAAAAGACCCTTAACACTTACAAACTTGCAGGAACCAATAAAATTGCCGAGACACTTCTCAAGCTCATTGCAATGAAATGAACCCATTTCTAAGCATAATCTCTGCTATAGAAATATCCCACAATAACGACAGACAGGTGTCCTAACCAAAAGGCATGAAATGAAAGGTCCAAGCTCTTCCAGTCTTTTCATTACATCCTGCTACCCCCAATCTCTTCCTCTCATCTGCCCAATGAGCCCTTACAAAAATCTTTATGAATTCAGTATGAAAACCTTAAGACAAAAGATGATGGTTAACACTTTTTGAGAACTTCCCATTTCCTCCTGGGCAATATTCAGGGACCAACACGCCACTTCTTATGACCCTTGACTTGGCGGCTCTGGGGTAACAGTAACCACCCAGGAAATGTTTAGGGGAACTCAGAGCTATATCTGGCAGATCTAAAAGGTGGGAAAAGAAAGCAAGAGTATGTTCCAGCTCATTGAGCAATATCTTGGCCCCCTGCTAACATTTCAGGCTCAATAATTATGACTTCATGTGGCACTGACAAACAGAGTTTTGGATTTTAAAAGAATCTTTTGCCTATAGAACACTATGAAGCTGTTAGAAAAGATAAAGTCATGAAATTTGCTTCAACATAGATGGACATAAGTATTATGCTGAGTGAAATGAGTCTGAGGGAGAGGGGCACACATAGAATGATTGCACTCATTTTGGGATATAAGAAACAAAACAAAACATAGTATGTGAATAATGCCCAAGGCAATAGAAACAAGGACTGGGAAGACTGGCTATGGTAGGAAGCTTGCCACCACAGGGGAGATGGAGTGTTATTAGGACAGAAAAGGAACCACATGACAATGACAGTTGGAAGTGACCACTTGGAACAAGAACGGAATGCTGAAAAGGAGGTAAAGTGATATGCATGATACCCTTTGAAAACACAATGCCTACATGGAAAATAAGATATGAGGAAGAGAGAAGAAAAGTGTCTGCCATGGAGGCAGGCATTAGGGAAAGGGCAAAGGGCCAGTGTGTGGGAAGAAAACGAGTGAGATTTGTTGTGGGAAATGTGCACTGACGAAAGGACAGGTTTTGGGGCATTGCCTGGCTGAAACTCAATCATAGATAACTTTGTAACTGTGTATCTCATGGTGACTTTATAAAGAACTTTTTAAAAAATTCTTTTGTCTTACAGAACTTATCAGTAAAAATCACATGAGCAGTTGAATTGCTATGATTATATGGCTTCCCAATGAATACTGCTTTAAGATTTAAGATGCTAATTCCAAATGCCAATCAAATATAACAAAATCCAAGCAAGTGGTGCTTCCACAAGCTCTTCTGAAGATAGAGGCTTATGCAAAAGAATACATTTATGTTAATAAATGATTGTTATGAACAAATAAAAAATATTAGGTCAATGTTTTATGGCCTGAAATATGCCCATAATCGCATATTTCATAGAAAAAGTAACAATTCTTCTTTTGTATCCCATTTATCCCATTAAGCTGCCAGAGTGAACTATTTCAGACTTAATCTAATGTGACCATCATCTGTTTAGTTGTACGTTCCCAGGTAGAAAGAATGTCTGTCCTGCAGTTCTCTTTTCTTAGAAAATGATTCAGTATTACAGAATAAAATGAGATCAACCAGGAAATCTGCCTTATGCTTCAAATCATCAAATTCAACTTAGTATTTTTTCTGCAATTTGCTTGGTAGCATGTTCTTTCATCAAAAGTCAAATATTCCCATTGTTTTCAACCTAATATGACTGGAGTTGAACCAAAGAAACATACTAACTCCCCCTCTGTAGGATATCATTCAAGTTTGAGGTGTTTAAAAATATACAATGTGTTTTTATAACAAATTAGGCTGGTTCAACTACCAGTTTCTTAGGTGAAGCCTATTAAATGAGTACATCTGTCTATCACAGCTCACAGAGGGCCATTACAGCAATTTTAACTCCCAAATTAATGATCACTGAGGTAGAATTTGCATGGAGAATGATTTTGACAGTGACCTACCATAGAAGGTTAGGTAACCGAACAGGCCAGCAAGCAGGTACATGATGAGCATTCCTGAGATGGAAACATTAGACACTGTTTGCATCTTCCTCCGGGACCGGCTAGAAAAAAATTTTTTAAAAAGAACCCTGAGCTTTCTTTTTTTCTAACTTATCGCCTTTTTCACAATATAAAAATAATGAAAACATGTATGCTTGTGTTGATTATTATAAAGCCACTTTCCTAGTGCAGCTATAGTATTTATTTAATCTTATCTTAGTCATAAAGGAATTATAATATGGAATTTTTTTAAAAATTACTTCTTCAATATTAGTAATCATTTGCCTAGAAGAGAACCAAGTTGTTTGGTGTTGATAAGTAAATTTGCCTGCTGAGTATTTAACAATTAAATTTACATAAAAATCAAATTGGTTCTACTACTAATTTAGAAAGCTTTTCATGGTTCATGAAATGTGGATTTAACAAGGATAAGAATCTGCTAGAAACATCAAAACACTACTCCTTGAAGTTCAGATTACCAGCTAGCCTAATAATATTAGTTAGGAAACTTCTGAAAACCATTCTAGAGGATGTTTAGCAATTGTCAAGTACTTAGTACTTGTGGTTTTCTGTGGTAGTCAAAAACATCATAATTGTGATTATTCGAAAATTATAAGGTAAGTCAGAATTTATGAGAAGCTCTTGATATTTAGTGAGAATGAATACAGTATTGTCTGAGTTAAAGAAAATGCAAATTATTTTATAACGACCCCCTTATGACTTAAGAAGAAAGCTGCTATGTTGAGCTCAGACCCACTTCATTCCCCAAAAGATGTCAAAAACCTCAAAGGGAAACAAATATTGATGAATCACAGACTACAAGCTAGAATACATATTAAATAATAAAGGCCAGGTATTGGAACAAATTGGTGATAAATTTATTGTGGAGAAGTGTTAGAGTCTGACCAATGGTTTCAATCAGTGGTGCATAATCGTAATCATCATAATCATAATCTTTGGTCTTAATCATTCAGATAAAAGTCTTCAAAATTTAAACTTTCCTTACTTCCCCAAGTTCATGTAGCTATTGGCTCCTCCTCCACCTACTTTAAACCCTGCACCTGAACCCAGAGGATATAAGATTAGTAAAGTAAAATTTGATAGTGCCAAGGCTGGTTCACACCTTGTTGGTCGAACCACACTACAAATGAGTAGCACAAATTTTGTGTAAAGAGAAAGCTATGAAATATGCTTCCGTATGAAACTCCGTTTTAACATATTAGCACATTTTTTAAAGCAAATCAGAATGCTAAACTGATGGCTGCCTTACTCTTTAAGTTCACTGTAGATGGGAAGGACTTCAGGGTGGCATACAAAAGCAAAGGCTAGGATAGGAATTGTATAGGCCGTCTGAAAAACAGAGACAACGTGTTTAGCATTCCAACAAAGATGTCAATCCCAGCTCAGCTCAGTTTATGACAAAAACTCAGTGGCCACGGTTACTTACTCACCCGGTAATTGAATATAAAGTACTTGGGTTGACACTTGTCATCATCATTTGCTTCAAACTCTATTCCACTGCCATGAAAGGAGCTCTTGGCCTGGTTCTCATCTATCCCTGCAGGATTCTGGTGGGTGTAATCCAGCATGAAGTTCACACCACTACTCTCAGAATTGTTAGGTAACATTACCAAGTGCTTCGGAAGTGTATTGTTGAATGTCACATTTCCAGCATGGTGATCCAGAATAGGGAGAGGGCAGGGTATTTGAAATTTCTTGTAAATAACCTAGATTTAGTGATTTTAAAAAATAAAAGCAAACAAACAAATGCAAAAATCAGCTTTTGAGGAAAAATATGAAAAATTCCTATGTGTAGTTTGTGAGGTGGTTTTAGGAGTCTCTGCTAGGGATTTCTTCAGATTAATTTAAAATGGAAACTCTTAAGCCTATCTTAAGGAAAGAGGAGGAACTATGGTTGATAATCTTATGCCTTATTAACAGCAAAAGAGTATTTTGCATAAGTTTATCCCAAGGTTTATTTGCTATCTATGAGAAAGCTGATCATATATTTAATTTCTTCAAACTAATGATAGTATTTGTCACAAAAGTATATGGCAATTCTTTGCTTTTGTTGGGAAATACCATACAAATTTTTGTATCCATGGTATTATAAAAAATTATTCCTTTGGAAAGCAGAAAGGGTTGGTGAAATTTCTTCTTTTATTCCACCATGGTTATCTTTTGTTCATGGGCATAATATAGGATGATTCATATGAATATGGCAAATTCTATAGTCTGGTTATTTACTTTCTGAGACACCTATTAATTGTATTTCATTTTTTGGATAAAATGAAAGGAATTATTCACAGCTCTGTGTTTAAGAGTCATTCCTAGTGGTACTTGAGAGACCTTATGTAGTGTTGGGAATCTAATTTGGGTTAGCCATATGCAGTCAAGCACGTCACCCATATTATCTCTCTGTCCTTAGCAGTCTTATCTTTATTGAAACAAATCACAAGCCCACTGGAAATCTTTCTTTTTATCTACTCTGTTAAATATAAGATTATTGTCCTCTTGCTTTATATGAAATGATACTTTAGTCAAAATATGTCTCCACTGTTCCTAGAATATACTTCATGAAGTTGTCTTGATATTCTAGCTAAACAAATTTTAAACTCATGGCAACTCCTATTCCAAATTAGAACATAAGAAAGTTGCTTGTAAGGCAGTAACTATTTCATGCTAGTAAAATACTTGAATAAAAACAAAGACACTAATCCAGGCACTATAAGAACCTCATGCACACTAAGCTACACAGATTAAGTCAAAAAATCACTTACCACACTGACAAAAAACACCATGCAGGTAAGAGAAAATCCGCTGGTATAACCAAGGTAACCTAGCAGTTAGCAAGGAAATTCCAAAAGGTGAATATGGTGTGAACAATCAGATTGCCTTTTAGAACATGAAATTTAAAAAATTTAAATTTGATTTTACCTAAACTTTTAAGAAGAGAAAGTGGAAGAATGACTCCGATAGACACAAATATGATGAGGTAGTTGCCATTGAGGTACCATTCTCTACAGAAGAATGAGAAATGAGGATGTTAAGATCCAAAGAGGTAGCTGGACAAGTCACAACATCACAGGGAACACCAAAAACCTACCCGGTATTTTCTTCAAGTCCCATGAATGCTCTAATTACTTCAGGTAGTTCATATTTAATGATAAAGAGATAGCTTGACATTGCTAAAATGGAAAATGCCATATGTTAGTGGTGCACATAGCACAAAAGTCACAGGCAAGCCGTCAGAAGAGTCGGTATGTGGAACATCCTTACACAGTAAGGCGAGACAGAAACTGAAACCACTCACAGTGTTTCCTACTGCTTCCAAGTTCTTTTCAAAGATAGACTTCTGGCTCTTGTATTGACTCTTTGCTAAACACAGCTCTGAGGTTTTCAATAATGAGGCAGTGACAGAGCTTTTCCCTCATGAATGATAAATCATCGTGATCTATACCAAGTGGGTCTGTCTCAGTGTGGGCCTAGGATTCATTCAGCAACAAAAGGAATGGCTCAGAAAGGAAGCAGAATTGCAAGGTCTAGCTGAATCAACTCTTATTTCTCTCCGACTTTCCCCAGTTGGGTGCCATTTTAAATCTCTGTGATCTCCCTGAAGGGCACACAAAGTTTCAGATACCAGTTGTTTAAATGGAGCCATCCTGTAGAAGAATAAAAGAGCTATCTTTTCTCACTGTCAATCCACGTCCTCCAGTATTCCCATATCTTGGCAACATAAAAAAAAAACCTGTCCAAGGTAGCCAAATTTTTCCATTTATACAAAAAGTAGTATGTATGTAATCTTATACTCTTTTGAAAATCTGATGAAATTTAGAAACTCCATGGAAAAACGCATAACATAAAAATTTTGCCTACAATTGTAAGGATTTCTACAATACTTCATCTCTAAATCTTCTACTTAGTGAAGTAGAATGCCTACTTAAAAATTAAAAAAATCAAACTAGTGAATTTTGCGTTAGCAATTTTAATGATATTCTACATGATTCTGGTGAATTTTTGCTGATACTCAAAACAAGTACCTAAGTTATAAATTAAACATAATAATAGCTTTAAGGGGGGTGGAGAGATAGTATAGCGGGTAGAGCATTTGCCTTGCACATGGCCGACCCAGGTTTGATTCCCAGCATCCCATATGGTCTCCTGAGCACCACCAGGAGTAACTTCTGAGTGCAGAGCCAGGAGTAACCCCTGTGCATCGCTGGGTGTGACCTCCCAAAAAAGCAAAATAAATAAATAATAAATAAAAATGTCTCCTTAACTTCAAATACACAAGTAGTAGTAGAATACACATTCTTGGTTTCTGCACACTACTCTATTTATCTGAAAAGCCCCATATAAAGGGAAGATGTTCATTATTATCTTTGTTTTCAGATGAAAACAGAAAAATTTTACAAACTTTAAATGCCCAAGAAAAGGAGAGACCCTATCTAAAATATATTACCTGATTTAGGACTTGTATTTTTCTATATTATAAAGTGAAATGATTTTAATAACACTTGGTGTGCCTCCTGTAAATATTATTTGGTTAATATTTACAAAGACTTTGGCCAAAGCTAAGTTTTACAGAGTGTAAACAGAGAAGATATTTCTGATTAACTGGCTCAGTGAGGCGCCATTTGATGTTAGAGCTATTAATTGCTGACTTTCAATGATGTCACCACTGTTAATGTGTTTGGTCTTTGAACATTCAGAATGGTCCAGACGTGTCTGGGAAATGTCAACAATATCCTGCTAATGTTGAAATATCTCTGGCAAATGTTAATTTTTAGGAGATTGAAAAAAAATATATATGTTCTAAATGTGGAATTGCTAAATACAGAACTACAAGTGATTTTCCTTATGCCAAAATAACCAGCAGTTATGTAGAATAATTTAAGTAAGAGCTATCTCCAGGGATACTTATAAAATTTTGCCTTCTTCCCTAAAGCTCCACTTCTAATGCATGTGCAGCTTGATGTAGAGACCACTTCATGGTTTATTTCATATGTGAAAGCATAATAATAGTGAACATTGTGAAATTTGAACAATAGATGATCGCTCTCAATCTATTCAATTTAGGAATCTGTGTGTGGGAGAGAGAGAGAGAGAGAGAGAGAGAGAGAGAGAGAGAGAGAGAGTGTATTTCATGAGTCTGAAGAAGTATACTAGGTGAAAATTGAAGTAGTTCTATGAAACTCCAAGACGTTAAATATTGATAAGGATTAAAACTGGAACCAAATATAAAGCACTGCATTCAATAGACGATATAGAAATTATTCTCTTTTCGCCCTAACCCAATAAATGAAATTATTCTACTCTTCTAAATACCATTCAAGATTATAGTCTTAATCTATGGAAACAAATAAAAATCACAAAGTACAAATGAATTTTATTTATCTGGTTATCAATAAGTCATCAGAATCAATTGTGGTTTGATAAAGGTTCTTAAAACAATTGTTGCATTCCAAAAATCCTATATAATTCTAGATATTTTATTAAAAAATGGTTACTTCTTGCACATTCCCTATGCAATTTTTTCATTGCTCTTTGTTTATACTAGCAAAAAACTAGAAAAATTCAACATTTGTATTAAGGGATTTTCTAAATAATTTATCATACAATACAAATTTGAAAACCAGTAAAAATAATAATATGAGTATGTTTTACGGCATTTTGTTGAATGAAAGAATAAGGCATAAATTGGTATATATCATTTATACCAATAATCCCTAAGCTCCTTGCTCAGAGATCACTCGTAAAGGAGCTCATAGAACCATATGCGGTGTTTGGAATCAAATCTGGGTTAGCTGCATACAAGGCAAGAGCTCTACCTGCTGTACTATCACTCTGACCCTAGTATTTCTTTCTAAGGGTGGCTTACAAAAATAAATATATAAAAATAAATTTATCTCTCTTAGTTTACACAATTAAATTTTAAAAGTAACATTAAAAAATAGGATGGCTCCAAAGACATTGCTATTAATTGTGAAACTGATTAGGAAGCATGTACCAAACCCATATTATGTCCCATGTTCTTATTTAATCTTTACAATGACCTTATGTGTATGGACAGTGACAATGACTCTCACTAAAAAATTAAACTCAGCAGTAAAGTTATTTTCCAAGGTTAAAGGTTAAAGTTATTTTCCAACAGCAGAAGAGAGATTTAAGAAGCATGTCAAAGAAAAAGTGGGCAGAAGTTAGTAGTTGATTGAATAACCAAGTTTAGAATGACACCCAGTTTTCTGGCCTAAGTACTAGATCTTCATTGTGTTATTTATTGTGAGAAGAGAACAGCAAGCTTGTGACTCAATTGGTGAGGGAGTAAGTGACACACTGCAGGATATAGTATGGTTCATGCAGAGGACACACCAGTGTGAGATCTGAAATATGGGTCTACTTGTCTAATGAGACTAAATGACACAATAAGATAATAAGATCACAGGGAGACTAGTGTGCTAACATATCACCTGTGACATTATTAAAACACATGTTTCTAGACTCTACTTTAGAAATGGTAGTGAAATAGGAATTATAAATTTATAGAATCAAGGAATCTGTGGATTATAATGTTTCTTATGCCTCGCCAAATTTTTGTGTTGCCACAATTGTAAATACTCTTCAGTGAACTGGTTCTATCTAGGCTGTGACTCAAGAACCACAAAATTTTTCTATTCCTTCTCAGAAAACTGATTTTTAATTTTATGGAGTTAAGTCAAGGCATATAAAACACCTACTATTCTGGAAGTGACAGAAACAGATGCTTTAATTTTTCAAATCTTTTAAAATGTATTGAGTGTTTTTTAGAAAATGTAAGTAGTCTATTGAAAGCTTTATCTCCTTACCTCCAATATTCTGCAATATAATGGAAGAAAAAGCTCCAATTTTCCCAGGCCATCCAAATGCTTTTTCCCCTAATTTTTCGTAAATTAAAGACCCTAGAGCCAAAGAAATATAACGGTTAAAACGGTTGATTTAATGAGTAAAATATTTCTGATATAATTCTACACTGGAGACTCAAACATGTAAATAAACACTATGTGAAAATTATAAAAACAAATGATGCAATCTCAAAACCAATACAAAATAGGCTAAAATGTTCTCCAAACAGCAAGCAATAGCTCCATTCATCTTAGCTCCACACAGAAAGGCAAAACTGGTATTTATATCATCAACCAAAAATCTTTTTCTATTTGGCTTGAAGCTGGGCCAGCTCACTTTCACTCCTCTCACCCAAAGAGCTAAAAACACTGAGAGCCTGTGTCATTGGGCTTAGAAGAAAATGAGGCACTGGCTTGACTAACACAATCCTATAGTTATAGACTAAAGACTGAAACATGCTTTCAAAAATGTGAAATAGAAAGTCAAGTTCAGGGAATAGCGTACCTCCTTCCTTCGCAGTCTTTAGCAAAAGGTGAACGGAATAGAGTGATAATATTGCCACAGTAAGCAGCATGATTCTGTGAAGGGAACAGAAAGTAAAAAATAAAGTCTCTATAATAAATAAAACAAGAGAATGTCAGATGAAACAATAAATGATCATAATGTTCTTTTCAGTCATTAACTTTCAGAAGGGCTGGAGTGATAGCACAGTGGGTAGGGCATTTGTCTTGCGCACAGCTGACCCGGGTTCGATTCCTTCATCCCTCTTGGAGAGCCCAGCAAGCTACTGAGAGTATCCCGCCCACACAGCAGAGTCTGGCAAGCTACCCATGGTGTATCCGATATACCAAAAACAGTAACAAGTCTCACAATGGAGATGTTACTGGTGCCCACTAGAGCAAATCGATGAACAATGGGAGGACAGTTCTATAGTGTGGTGTTATCTTTCAGAAATATGTGAATTTTGAGAAAACTGAGAAACTCACTTGAGAACTTCACATATTCATATTGCTAGAATTTTATTTGCTGAACTTTACAAGACCCACTATTTTTTTTTCCCCTGTATTTTATTTTATTTTTTTTAAAGTTGTAGATTTACAATTTTTTGTGCTTTGGTTTCAATTATACAATGATCAGATACCCATCCCTCCACCAGTGCCCATTTTCCACCACCATGGATAATATCCCTCCCACCCCCATCCCCCCATCCCCCCGTCTCTGTGGCAGGGCAATCCCCTGTGTTCTCTCTCTCCTTTTGGGTGTTGTGGTCTGCAAAAGAGGCATTGAGTGGCAAACATGTTCAGTCCATAGTCTACTTTCGACATGCATCTCCCCTCCTGGGAGGATCCTCCAAACATCCTTTATTTGGTGCTCCCTTCTCTATCTGAATAGCCCTTTCCTCTAGGATACCCGGCTGGCCTCTAAGTTATGGAGTAATCCTCCTGGTGCTGATCTCAGCTATTCTTGGGTATTAATCTCATACTTTGTTACTTTATATCCCCCAGATGAATGCAATCTTTCTATGTCTATCCCTCTCTTTCTGACTCATTTCGCTTAGCATGATACTTTCCATATTGTACCACTTGTATGTAAATTTCATGACTTCATCTTTTCTAAGAGCTACATAGTACTCCATTGTGTAGATGTACCAAAGTTTCTTTAACCAGTCATCTGTTCTTGGGCATTCAGGTTTCTTCCAGTTTCTGGCTATTGTAAAGAGGGCTGCAATGAACAAACAAGTGCAGATGTCACTTCGACTATACATTTTTGCCTCTCTGGGATATATTCCCAGGAGTGGTATTGCTGGGTCAAATGGGAGCTCAATTTCTAATTTTTTGAGAATCATCCATACTGTTTTCCAGAAGGGCTGAACCAGTGGACATTCCCACCAACAGTGAAGGAGTGTCCCTTTCTCGCCACATCCACGCCAGCATCGGTTGCTTTTGTTCTTTTGAATTTGGGCCAGTCTCTGAGGTGTGAGATGGTATCTCATTGTGGTTTTGATCTGCATCTCCCTGATGATTAATGATGTAGAGCATATTCTCATGTGCTTTTTTGCCATTCGGATTTCTTCTTTGAGAAAGTTTCTGTTCATTTCATTGCCCCATTTTTGGATGGGGTTGGATGTTTTCTTCTTGTGGAGTTTAACCAGTATTTTGTATATCCTGGATATCAACCCCTTGTCAGATGTGTATTCGGTGAATATCCTTTCCCATTCTGTAGACTGTCTTTGTATTTTGGTCACTGTTTCTTTGGAGGTGCAGAAGCTTCTTAGTTTAAGATAGTCCCATTTATCTATCTCTGTTTTCACTTGCTCGGCCAGTGGCGTGGCATCTTTGAAGATACCATTAGCTTCAATGTCATGGAGGGTTTTGCCAACTTTATCTTCAGTGTACCTTATGGTTTCTGAAGACCCACTATTATAACATTGCATTATAACATTTTAAAATATTATCCCGGCAAGCTACCGAGAGTATTCGATATGCCAGACACAGTAACAACAAAGTCTCCAATGGAGACGTTACTGGGCCCGCTCGAGCAAATCGATGATCAACGGGAGGGCCTTTACCTTACCTTTACCTTATCCAGTAATAGAATTTATAACTTAGAAGTTAAACTCATGGCAAAATCAGAAAATATTATGTCTACTTGTTCAGCATAGGGTATAAGTACCCCATGTTGACACAATAATGATGTTTATAACTGAAACACAATATTGATGTTTATAACTGAAAAAAATGATTCAATGACCTGACTAAGCATAAACTTAGAAAGCATGTGGAATTTGAGCTTCACTACTACTGAACCTCAACATCAGATAACAAAATACTTTGCAAACCAGAGGGTCAGGCAATTACCAGTGTAATAGAGAAAACAGAAAGATAAGAATCAGGATTGAGTACAAGAAAGTGTGCCTTTGCAATCACAAAGAAATATTTATAGTTTAGAAATCCCCCACATATCCACATACATGTTTTATTTCTTCATGGATGAAGTGATTGATGTTTCTCCAGAATCAAGAACTGGAGAGCAAAATTATAGCACAAATTAAAGAGAAAATATAGAATGCAAAAATAAAGAACAATATCAAACTTTATCTGAAGATTTTTTTGATTAAACTGTCAGAGTTATCAAAATTTTCTCCCACAATTACACACATTTTTTCCCACAAGTACAAACTTATTTGGATATTCCCAAGTAAATCAGTACTTCAAATATATATTTGGACCATGAATTATAATTTTATAATAACTGTAGCTATACTGTGCCCTGAGTTCTCACAAAATATATTTACCAGAATCGTCTAATTAGCGGCATTTGTTATTATATTTTTTCCATAAACTCTGTGGTTTCCATACTTTAAAGAAGTATATAACTCAAGTTAAATCATTCTGTATCCTACAAAAAGTATGAGGCTTCTCTGTATTTGAAAAATATTCTTGATTTGGAAAAAATTACTAAAAGAAAATCATGAAGTGCATTGTCACTTACTATGCATTTACAGATAGCTGAGTTGACTTTGTAGTGACTTGGAAAAAAAACACATGCCATAATGTCTAGGAAATTAATTTTTCCAATTTAAGTTATTCTGCTAAACGTTTATAGACTTGAAGTAAGGTTGTTGGTTTCAAAAATGTAATTTTTTTCTTCTATAAAAATGAGTTGTATGGGCTGGAGCGATAGCACAGCGGTAGGGCGTTTGCCTTGCAGGCAGCCAACATGGCCAACCCGAGTTCGATACCTCCGCCCCTCTCAGAGAGCCCGGTGAGCTACCTAGAGTATCTCGCCTGCACGGCAGAGCCTGGCAAGCTATCCGTGATATATTCAATATGCCAACCACAGTAACAACAAAGTCTCCGATGGAGATGTTACTGGGCCCGCTCGAGAAAATCGATGAACAACGGGAGGACAGTGACAGTGACAGTGACAAAAATGAGTTGTATGCTATAATATTGCAGAAAGTCTTCTTTTCTGTTCATCAGTGACCTCTGATAACTTGCTAATTAATTTTAATGGTATTGTAAGTAATAAAAGGCAATCTTTTTATCTTAAAGATGGTAGATATTTAAAAATTATAAATAAAGTATATGCAAAAGCCTTTCTAGCCATTAAATCTTAGAATGAAAAAAATTATTTATCTCAAACTAAAAATTAAAATTGATCTAAAAATCCTTATGTCTGGAAAATATTATGCCCAAAAAAGTTCAATTCAAAATACCAAAAGAATATAAATATGTATAATTCTGCTAGAACCTTCACATTCAAATAGCTGTGTGATAATCTAATATTGTTCAGTGTATATATACTATATATTTATCATAGAGATGTAGTACTTTTAGATAATTCCATAACTCTCTAGCATTGCATTAGAGTTTGTATTCTCTATCAAAACTAATATCTGACTACCATTAGACTTGAAGAATCCCATTGCAAAACTGTGTTTTGGAAGATAAATAGACATCTGTGGTTATCTCTCACACATAGCAGCATTTGTCCTCCAGGTTGTATTCTACCCATATTCACTGTTCCAGGCATACTGATAGGTTTAGAAAATTAGACATTCAGTGATCAAAATCAGCATGGCGGGCCTTGGCACTCAGACAGCTGGTAGGGCACTTGCCTTGACATGGTCAACCTGGATTCAATGTCTTATTTGTCTCCCAAGCCTGCCAAGGAGAGCTCTCTGAGTGCAGACTCAGGAGTTAGCCCTTACTACTGCACGGTGTGGCCCAATAAGCAACAAATAATTAAATAAATACATTTTAAAAATTAAAAAAATAGCATGACCTCTACTCTTTGAAGTCTAACAAGGTAGGTAGTCATGAAGTAAATGAATCAGACAATTGTAATAAAGTATTAAAACTAAGATGAGTTCAGAATTAATATTTTCCAGTCAGATTAGAGACTCAGTAGCACTAAGAGGTGTCTAAGATAAGCTGCAAAGAGCTTAGCTTATAGATAAAGAAGAAAAGGAAGAAGATACCAAGACCATGTGTGAATATCCTATAGCAAAAGGCACCTGATCCCTTCGTGAGATGGAGACAAGGCCAGTGTTGCCCCGTTTTTCAGGCCAGGGTGAGAGATAGGACCTGTCTAGAATGAATGGATTACTTCTCCTAAGAGTGTTATAAAATCGTATTTACTTCTGGAAAATACCTTTGTGATAAGCAAATGCTAAATTATTTTAGGCACTCATTAGCAATATATTATTTGTTTTCCATGAATAGATTCCCATATAAGCAAATGCTAAATTATTTTAGGCACTCATTGGCAATATATTATTTGTTTTCCCTGAATAGATTCCCATATGACCCAGTGATACCATTTCTTGGCATCTCTTCCCCAAACACACAATCATTTATTTGAAAAGATGTATGCCTACATTTGTTCATCACAGCTGTTAGTATAATAGCCAAGATATGGTAAAAACCTAACTCTAAATGGATGAAACACGATACAGTCTGAAGAAGGACAACAATCATGCCAGTTGCCAGGGCACAGATGGAACTAGAGGATATCATGTTGAGTGAAGTTATTCAGTAAAAAAAGAGGTAGATACGTGTTGATGTAGGATAACGATACTGAATGGTCTCTTTTAGACATACTAGTTAAAGATATACAGCCAGGTAGCAACAAAGGGACAATGGCAAAAGAACTGGAGAGGTGATTGATCCACAGACGGAATTAGCAAAGGCGGGACTGGGGAAATTTTGTAAATGAGAGCCATCTGGGATCTTGTGGAGGAAATAGTTACTCTGGTGGTGGATATGGTGTTGAAATTATATATGCATAAAATTATCATTAAAACTATTGTAAATCACAGATATCAATAAAGATTAAAATAGTTTTAAAAATTCATTCCCCTGGACTGTTGGGGTCTCTCCAGCACATTAGGTCATTGAGAACATAAACTTTCTACTATGTGGCTAAGAATGTTTAGTTGAACAGACACCATGATTAGGCATATACTCCTATTGTTCTTCAAGCCGCTGATTCATCTAACAAGCAAAAGAAATATACTAATCATTCAGATTATTCCTATTTATAAAGGACAAATTTCATACTTCTAATGGAAAGAATACCAGGCATACACAGGCTTCAAACAAAATGTAGATATGTCCATCCACTTACACAAAAAGTATGATTCCTGTATTGGCCATGGCGTAGGACAAGCCCAAGATTCCACTGCCCATGATGGCATTGCTCAAATTGAATGAAGACATTCCAAAGGAGGTGTGTCCGGGATGCTTAAAGAAAAGAGAGTTCCAATATAAGCAAATATTTGCAAAGAATGAGCTTATTTTGATTATTTTTATTCTTGAATACATTATCTTTTATAGTGTTTACAATCTAAATATGAAAAACTAAGATAATTTCAAGGTAAATAAAAGCCATTTCTTAGCCTTAATAAAAGCATACAGTTTTCAATGGAATGTGTGCTTGGTTTCAGCAGTGGTCTCAGTAAAATTTAGAAATGTAGGTCAAAAAAGTTAAAGCAGGGAAAGTATGTGTGATTGTAGATTGCATTTGGGTTAGAACGATTTTTCAAAAAAACAAATAATTTCATAAATGATTTATGCAGCCATATGGCGAACAGGAAAAACAAGCCCTTATTCCCGTAAGGGCCTGAATAAACAGAGAATATGCTGATCAAGGCTTGGAAAATTTCAGTCAAATTGTTTTCCCACAGAGACTGAGGTAGATCAGACACCCTCAAGTCGTGTTTACTGCCTGGAAGCAGAGACTCACTTACATGTTCATCATCATGATCTGCCAGCTTCTTTTCCCCAAAAAATCCATTTGTCAGGAATTTCTGACTTTCAGCATCATCATTGGCAAATTGACTGAATACACATACAGAAAGAAAAACAAGAAAGGAAAAACACTGAAGTAAATGCTCTGGATTGTGTCTATGTTTCAGGTGATCTTAGAAACTAAACTAGGGGAGGAAAAACAACACTTCACAAACATTTTTTTTCCTTCTCCTATTAACTAGCACTAATTCCAAACCAATGACAGAGCTACATTTATGACTATAGTTTGGGAGGGAAGAAGGTAATTGCAAAGGAAGAAAATATTTTTGTTGGATTTTTGTTAAGCATTATTTCTTCTCACTTTGACTGTGTAAGAAATAAAATGATAAAGGACTGATTTTGTTCCTATTCAGAGCACCTTCCAAAAAAGAGTGCAGGTCCCTGACTGACTTTCCACAATTGTGATCAAATAATTTTATTAGTTCAGCAAATATTTATTACAATCCAGGCACAGTGATCCTCATCAATCTTGAAAGTGACTTTCATATCTCCATGCTAGAAATAAATGATTACACGACCTCTTCAGAAAAGTGAAGTATTGTGCCCACATCCACCAGTCTCTAAGATCAGTGTCACCCATGGCACCATTGAAGTCCTAGCCAAGGACTGACAACTGGCATTTTCTTATTCTTTTTTTCCTTCCACTTATTTACACACACTTCCCTTGCTGGGAAATTCAATGGCAGCTCTGTGTTGTATTTGGTTGTTTTCATATGTGGGTATGTACTTCAATTACTCTGAAAATGTACCCGGGTTATGAAACAGTAAACAGAATTACAAAAACATCAATGAACCCAGTTAATTAGGAGAAAAGTTGGGAGAGAAGCAACACTGAAATGTCACTATACTACTCATGGCAAGTTTTGATTAGGGCCTGCATAGGTCAGTCTGAAGCTATATACTTTCTTCCCATTCTGGTGGGCTCCAGAAGTACTTGCTGAGAGCTTTGAGACCACAATCTAGTATCAGCAACATTTCTAAAAGGCTTGGTTATGGAGTTTTACTGTCACTACTACATTTGGACACTTTAAAAAATTGCATACATTTTCTTTTGTTATTTGGAGGGTTCAATATGTTCATGCTCGTTGAAAGTGCCCTCTTATTAGATAGTAATATAGATAGTAATTTGGGGATATTTATTTCATGATAAAGTGTGATAAAGTAACAATCAGAAATAAAAAGTGACTCCTGAAAGATCTGACTGCCACACCCACATACCACAACCACTGCCATGTAAGCTCATCTGTCAGCCCATTTTTATAGACTCACGATTAAATCTAAGAAGAGATCAACTAGGTTCAAAAATTCAACACAGGTCTTCTGACTGAAAACTCCGGGGTGACCTTGTGGGGTTAGGGACAAGTAGAGTAAACTTCTACCCTATCAACCTCCTAGCAGCCACACTCATACCCCCATAGTGGCCGCCATGCCAATGGCCCAACTCAAATGCCTCACAATTAAGCTCTGCAGTGATACCAAACTGCCCAAAATTTCAAGAACACTCATCTTCAGGATCAGATCTCTGGAACCTTCTCAGAGTGTGGCTTTCAGAAACTCTTGCAGCCACACTGACATTCCACAACCCCTGCCATTAACTTCATGGTCCAGTTTAATATTCTGGAGTTTCTGGAGTGTGTAGCCACATATGTGGCTGCTTAACACCTCCAAATTCCACAATACTGAACATCCCAGTAAGAACACACCAAATTATATGAGAAGGTAACATAGAAGTCAACTAAGCTCAATAAACAAAATAAGGCTTAACTAACAATAAACAGCTTAGTAAACCCTCAGATAAGGACTTAATGACCCCAGGACCTCCTATAGTATCTCTCCAATCCCCTGAAAATATGGTGTTTTTTGATAAAGAGGGATGACAAGGTTACTTTCTGAGATTAAACAACAACACAACATATAGATAGACCCAAACAAAACTTCAGAATTTTATGTACTTTTCTATAGCCCAAAAAGTGGGGATCCATAGTGGAAATAAGGCATTTCCCACTATTCTCCTTCTGTAGCTCGCAGGAAACATGACTCTCTCTCTGATGCACTGTCTTTTATGTCTGTGTTCCAGCATCCTTTTTGCCTTTTGTTTTAATATTCTGTAATGAATGTGCTTTCTATATGGATACTATGATGCTTAGAGTTGACATCAGACAGTAAGATGAAGTAGAGGAAGTTATCATCTGGATTTAAATTATTCAGTGTCAAACATTCTATTTCAACCTTAATGATCTAGAATCCTCTATTCCACGAATAATTTGTAATGTGAATGCAAATATTTTCAAAAATTCATCTTCATGTGCTTATTTAAGCACGAGAGACATTGTTATTAGCATTCCAAGATTTTTAAATTTCATAAGAAATGTCCCAGAGTCTAAAATGTTTGATACAAAACTCAGAATGCATAAAAGACACATTTGATCAAAAATTCCCTTCTGAGTATCCATTGCCATTCATAATTTGTGTTATTTAGCATAGCACTGTAGCATTGTCCTCCTGATGTTCATCGATGTGCTTGAGCGGGTCCAGTAACATCCCTATTGTGAGACTTGATGTTACTGTGTTTGGCATATCAAATACGTCACGGGGAGCTTGCCAGGCTTTGCATGTAGGTAAGATACTCTCGGTACCTTGCCGGGCTCTCCTATTGTGGAAAATTTATTTATTTATTTATTTATTTATTTATTTATTAAGTAGTGTTATTAACCTACTACATGCCAAACACTGTGATCTGTGCTGGGGTCACAGAGATCATTAGCTGATAGTAATAACATAATGGACGTCTGGATGGGGAGCGGGTACGAAAAGGAGAGGGCTCATCACTTTCACCTGGGGAGGTTTCATAGGAGATTTGAATTAGAGCTGCTTCTTGAAGGGTGACTGGTGTCAAAAGAGAAAAAGGGGCAAGAAAGAGTGACATGAACAGGCAGTATTCCAAATTCCCAGCACAGAGGAGAGAGATAATAGGGACTGACAATGATAATGGTTAGGAAGAGGATACAAAAAGGAACAAAATAAATGGTGCTGGCAAGATGGTACAGTGGGTAAGGTGGTTGCCTTGCACATGACTGACATGTGTTCAACAGTCAGCACCTCTTATGATCCTCTCAGTACCACCAGAAGTGATCTCTTAGCAGAGTCAGGAGTAAGACCTGAGCAGGTGTGACCCAGCATGCCCCCGCTCCCCAAAAAGAAGTAGGACAGAAAAAATAGGTCACCGATAGTATGAAGGACCTTTCAGGCAAAACAATGTATAGTATATTTTTAATTTTTTGTGGAAAATTTTAGTCACCATCAAGTTACAACTTTATACATGATTACATTTCAATCATACAATGTTTTTAATTTTTATGTTATAAGTAATACGGAAGAGCTAAAAGTCTTTACCAAGCAATAAACTAATTGTAAAAGATTACTATTTCAGGAATGTATAGTGGTAGTTGGAGAAGAGTAAGATATAAGATAGACGATAACACAGGACTGTTTCATTAGACAGGTGAAAGATGATGAAGGCCTGAAGTAAAAGAGTGATAGTCTGGATACAGAGAAGAGGGGAGAATTGTAAGATTAAGATGGATATAATTAAACATTTACCATGTAGTTCAGGGAAGGATATGAGTCAAAACTAACAGTGGATCTTTTGGGTGAGCTTCTGAGTGCTAATAGTGACTTTCACCTTGATAAGGATTTCTGCAGGAAGGTTTATATAGGGAATTATAAGAGGTCAAAATTAAATATTTTACGTTTGATTTTATAAATGAGGCAATTAAGACACAAATTATGAAGCAGAGACATCAACTAAGCCTAAGATTTAAGATCTGTTTGAAAGATATATCCTATGTTCAGCAGATGAGACAATGATAGCTTTGAGTTTGTTCTTAGGACAATCTGGCAGAGCAAAGAATCTTAATGGCACTCTAGAAATGAGCAAAATTTAAAGGGAATCTGAGAAGGAAAAGTTAAAGGAATGATAGGCTAATATAATTTAAATTATTTCATATTACAAATGAAACAAGAACACAATGACCTCAATTCTAATTAGTTACCCAAATAATTAACAAGTGATAATGATATAATTTAGGAAGTTTATAAATTACCATCAATGCCACCATCACATCAAACACATAATAAATTCAATTTTCTGGAAAAACCAAGAATGACAATGTTGTCTTCCATGTTAATTACCATCTTATTCTTTTTCCCAAGGAGCCTAGGTATTCTTAACTCCATACCTGTTTATTGCTGCCTTTGGTGAGCTTCCCAGCCTCGTGTAGTTATCCCGAACACTTTCTCCGCTGATGCTCTCTCCATCGGGTTCAATGTTGACGTTTCTCAGTTCCAAGGGATCCATTTTGGTCGTCCGCTCTTCTGTGTCCACACACAAAATTCTTCAGTGCAAACAGTACACTGTACCTGCAGTTTAAGTCTCTTCTACTTTGCGTTGCTGTTCAGAACACTTTGTTCTATAATCACAAAACAAAATAATTCATTATAAATTTTAATTAGGTAAATAAATATTAATCAAATACATATTTGTATGTTCTCTGGATAAAAACATGGAAGTGAAGCAAACTGAGAACATCACCTAAATATGTCTAGAAAGTTTCTGTTGCTGAATTTAAAAAACGGAGAATAAAAGAGAATGAAAATTATTAATAAATTGCCAATTCATCTCTTATTTCTAGAATGCGTGTGTGTATATATATATGTATATATATATATATATACACACACATATGTACATATATACAAGGCAGGTATTCTGCTAGTTGTTGAAAAAATAATCTTAAAATGTCACTTAAGTCTTTAAGAAGTAGTTACATGATTTTAAAAAGAAAGTAAAAGTAAAAGTAAGTAAAGGCCCTCCCGTTGATCATCGATTTGCTCGAGCGGGCCCAGTAACGTCTCCATTGGAGACTTTGTTGTTACTGTGTTTGGCATATCGAATACGTCACGGGGAGCTTGCCGGGCTCTGCCGTGCTGGTGAGATATTCTCAGTAGCTTGCCGGGCTCTCCGAGAGGGGCGGAGGAATCGAACTCGGGTCGGCCATGTTGGCTGCATGCAAGGCAAACGCCCTACCGCTGTGCTAACTTGAAATAATTAGCTGACAAGGGAAGAACTGTCAAGGCAGCTTGTGTAGCTTCTGTACTAGTAGAAACATTATCTTGCTTCTGGGCTACTTTGCTTTTTGGTCAGGAAAGCATTAACACCACCAAAATGATTGATAACTTGTGAGACAAGATAGAATCAGGCTTAGGGAGTCAGTTTTCAGGTACTTGGAGAGTCGAGTCAAAGTTATCAACAAGAAGTATTGTTGTATAAAGTAACAAAATAGGAGACTAACACCCAAGAATGGCCAAGATTAGTACCAGGAATTTTACTCCATGGCTTGGAGGCCAACCACACATGCTAGGGAAAAAGGGAGCTCAGATAGAGAAGGGAACACCAAATAAAAGTGTTGGGAGGATCCTCCCAGGATGGGGGAAGCATGCTGAAAGTAGACTACAGACCAAACATGATTGTCACCCATTGCCTCTTTTGCAAACCACAATACCCAATAAGAGAGAGAGAGAACAAAAGGGAATGCCCTGCCACAGAGGCAGGGTGGGATGGGAGATGGGGGATGGGAGGGATACTGGGATCTGTGCTGGTGGGAAATGGGCACTGGTGGAGGGATGGGTATTTGATCATTGTATAATTGAAACCCAAGCACAAAAATTTGTAAATCTACAACTGTACCTCATGATGTCTCACTCATTAAAAAAAAAAGTATTGTTGTGTCTTGGAACGAGCATCATGTTATTTTACTTTTTAACCCAATTTTTCCTCAGAATTATAAAATTAAAAGGATGGAACTCTTTGGGTGCAAAAAATTATAAGTTTATTATATACAACTGATGCAATTCCTTCTGAAATTTTCATGTTAGATTTTATTCATACCTTCTAGTGGAAGAAACACACCTGAATATTGAGAAAAACACACCTACTCTTAAGAGGCATTTCTGAAATGTGCACTACCCATTTGGTAAGACAATAAATGAAAAATGTAATAAGAAAACTGTTTTAGAACTCATAAAATCCATACATCTTCTGACAAATATGAAACAACTGCATGGAAAAAATATTAAAAAATAAGAAAGTGTTAAGTGTGATTAGCTTTCCATGGAAATGAACCAAAAGGAATATTACAAATAAAAATGAAATCATTAAATAAAGTAAATTCAGCAAAGAAGTTTAAGGAACTAGAAGATAGGTCTGTGGAAATTAAACAACATCACAAAGAAATAGAAGAAAGAAAGAAGGAAAGAATTAAAGAAAAAAGAGAAAGAAAAAAGAAAGAAGAAAGGAAAGAAAAAATAAAGAATTCAATGTTTAAACATGGTCTGCTAGTTATTGTTTGTTATATGAGGGAATTGTGAAGTAAGGGAGAGACAAGATAGAAATACAAAATGGCGGGGGGAGTGTTCAAAACTGGGGAAAAAAAGTTCTCAAGATTAAAATAAACGGTTTGCAAATTTTAAAGTAAAAACCATATATTTGCCACCAGAAAGAAGTGAGACATGTTTAGGGTTAAAATAAATAATAGAAACTTGTATCAGTTAAGGAAAAGTATTCGTAACGCCCGCCTGTCCTTCGCCAACTATAAGACCAAGATGACTGCCCTCCGACGTCCTGATGGATCCATCACATCCTCCAGAACGGCAATGGAGAAGATTATCCATGACTTCTACTCAAATCTCTTCGATAGCCATGTCCACTTGCCGACATACCAAATTCCACAGGATGGGTATGTCGTTCCCAACGTTCTCCCTTCCGAAATCCGACACGCCATTTCGTCAGTAAAGAAGCAAACAGCACCCGGCCCAGACAAGGTCAGACCTGAACACCTGAAGAACCTGCCGTCAGTACTCATCAATACACTGGCTCGGCTCTTCACTCGCTACCTGTCTGAATGCAAGGTTCCATCTCAATGGAAAACCAGCAGGACCGTACTACTGTTCAAGAAGGGAGACATCCATGACATTGGCAACTATCGCCCGATCTGCCTATTGTCTGTCATCTACAAGTTGTTCACTCGAGTCATCCTGAATAGGATTGGCAGAACACTAGATGAAGGACAACCATGTGAGCAAGCAGGGTTCCGCAAAGGATTCAGCACCATCGACCATATCCACACGATAACCAAACTCATTGAGGTTTCTCAGGAGTTCAAGATGCCGCTCTGCTTAACGTTCATTGATTTAAAGAAGGCCTTTGATTCTGTTGAGACGGAAGCGGTCATTGAAGCCCTAGCCAATCAGGGCATTCAAGCCCAATACATCAGGATCCTCCGTGAGCTGTATTGCGGATTCACTACCAGGATCTCACCATTCTACAAAGAAGTGATCGTTGATGTCAAGAGAGGGGTGCGGCAGGGTGATACCATTTCACCAAAACTCTTCAGTGCCACCCTCGAGAACATCATGCGACGACTGGAATGGGAAGGAATGGGAGTGAAGATAGATGGTCGGCAACTACACCACCTCTGCTTTGCTGATGACATTGTTTTAATAACACCAAACATCAGCCAAGCGGCACAAATGCTGGCCGACTTTGACCGTGAGTGTGGAAAGGTAGGACTACAGCTGAATCTTACGAAGACAATGTTTATGAGAAACAGCCTTGTTCCTGACGCCCCATTCGCTCTCAATGGAACGACCATCTCCGAATGCAACAGCTATGTGTACCTAGGTCGAGAGGTCAACATGACAAATGACCTGGCACCCGAGCTGCGCAGGAGGAAGAGAGCGGCTTGGAACGCCTTCAAGAACGTCGAAGAAATAGCTAAGAGGACGAAGAACCTCCGGCTCCGGGCACATCTCTTTGATTCCACTGTTCTTCCTGCATTAACATATGCCTCAGAGACCTGGGCCCTACGCAAACAAGATGAGAACGCCATTCAGGTCTCCCAAAGAAGAATAGAAAGAGCTATGCTTGGAATATCACGTTTCACTCAAATGAGAGAACGAATCCGGAGTTCTGACATCCGTCGACGATCAAGGATCAGGGACGCTGTCTCATTTGCCAAGGTGTCTAAAATCAGATGGGCTGGTCACGTAATGAGATTTAAAGACGACCGTTGGACTAGAGCTGTTACTGATTGGATTCCACGGGATGTCAAGAGACCGCGTGGCCGCCCACCTACCAGATGGTCAGACTTCTTTGTCAAGGTCATGAACGATCGGTTTGAGGCCCTCCATGTTCCCGGAGCGAAAAGATGCCATTGGGCTACACTAGCACGCGACAGGGACAAATGGAGACGTTACTGGCGCCCGCTCGAGCAAATCGACGACTAACGGGAAGTTAAGTGATTAAGTGATTATCAGTTAAGTATAAAGGCTCCTTTCCCATCACACACCATCATTTTCACTCCTCACCAGTGACCACTTAGGACAGTTTAACCTTTGCACTTAAAGCTACTCATTCTGAATTTAAATTACTCACAAAAAGTTCTCTGACTTGGTTTATCAATTTTAGATTAGTACATATGAAAGATGAGAGAATCGCATGTTTCTCTTCACCCTTTCTCCCCTGCATACCACTAATGTGTTAATGACATTTACAATGCTAAGGTTCATAGATTTTCATCTAATTCTGTTAAAGCAACGAAAGCTTTCTATGTTTTTCTGTAGGTTATCTAGAAATACTGAAAACCCACAGCAATACACGGTGATTGTAGGAACAGTATATGCCCCCCACAAACCAAGAATATTATGAGTAGATGATAATTGAAATACATTCCTATATTTCTAAAAGTTTCATGCTCTTTTACTTTTAACATGGCCCTCTCCTTACTCTCTAGCTCTCTCAGCTGTGAAAATTTCTTGAATGACATTCCATGTTCTATCTTCAATTCATGTTGCATTCTGTGACGGATAGACCTCCTCAGGATGTCCAGGATAGATCTTCCCAAGACAGGTCCCTTGGGCATGTGGACTATTTCAAGTTAAGTTATTGTCCAAAGTTAGGATTTTTACTAGAAACAATCTATTTTGATAAATCTACATGGAAGGGAAAACATTTATTTATAGAGCACCTAGTATGAGTCATATGAGTTTCTTTTAAATGTGAATTCTCGGGGCTGGGATGATAGCACAGAGGGTAGGGCATCTGCCTTGCACACAGCCTGACCTGGGTTTGATTCCCAGCATCCCATATGGTCCCTGGCCAGGAGTAATTTCTAAGTGCATGAGCTGGGAGTAACTCCTGAGCATCGCAGGGTGTGACCCAAAGAGCAAAAAAAAAAAAAAACAAAAGTGAATTCTCCTGTTCCTTATTTTAAACCCCCATCCTATCCCTTAGCTCAGAATAAATATTCTCATTGTGCCTTATTTACTGCTGAATCTACTAATTCCATGTAGATTCTGCCTAGATACGTAATAATTATTTTTCCTTTTATTGATCTTCCTGACTTTAATTATT